TGATTTGTTCTAATGGTGTTTGTAAATAGGATCACAAGTCCACATCTTGTACAGCAATTAACCACTAAGAAGAATATATGCAGTGTATTATTTGTTGAAGCTGTATTTCCGATTTGATTTGAAACTGTCTCATTGCTGTTTATCAATAAAACTTTGGGAAAAATATAAAATATATTAGACAAAAAAATAAAAATAAAACGCACTAATTGTTACCGTACAAATTGATTGGCAATATGATTGTGTCTTATTCAAGTAGTTACACCTGTAAGTATTTGGGAAAATTTTTGTCACCATTTTCTATCTGAGTTTCTTATTTTCAGATCTGCATGCTATATGATTTAGATACTTTGACACATGGCTATGTGTGTTATATTCTCTGCTTTTGCTTACTATTGTGAGTGTTCTGTAAAGTGTTACATATGGGTCATCTCTCATCCGTTTTTCCTTATTCTATTTTTCTAATATACATTCTAACCACTGATTTGTTTAAAACTATGGTAAATTCAGAACATTTTTTGCATAACTAGTAAAGCACACTATAGCAGCATTTGAATAAATTTTTCAGTGGCTTCTTCTGAGATCACTTTTCCTCTCTCTTGCTGTGAGCTCTGCTGTCAAGTCAAAATGCACAAGTTAAAAGATATACTCACTGACTTCTTGTATTTAGTTAAGACCTCCTTTAAAAAATTTACTTTTTATTAGTTACTATAAATTTTACGAAATACTTGGAATTAAAAACTTTTTCATACTTGAACATATTAGTCATAAGTTGATCATATTTAGCCACCTGATTTTAATAAGGGAGTTTTATATATTTCACTTCTACCCAAATTGGCTATTCTCTTTTTAATGACTTAGCCTCAAGTTATTCAATGATGGCATTACCCCAGAGGATATATCTCTGGAAATCATATTTTAGATAGTTTATTTTTCTTTTTTGACAGCTTTGGAGCTCTGTGCTATACATTTAGAGTTATAACTGAGGTCCCAGTGAGTTTAATTATGGAAAAATCCACCTTGGAGTTTCCACAATGATTCAACGATATGTGTTATGGTACAGATAAAGTTTCCACAGATTTTGCCCTTACCTCAGGGAGTGTTAGTTAGTACCAGTTCACATATGGTTGTTTTCTTAGAGCTGACACACTCAATTCATGACAAATTAGGGATTAAGTGTCATCTCCATATTTAGTCATTCTTAAATTCAAGCATGGTTTGTCAAGACATTTGACTGGTCTTATCCATACTCTCGTTTTTTCACTTTTGCAGGTCTAAAATATAAATTGGAAATGCAAATGCAAATGTATGTGATGAAACTTTTTCCTCACAAAATTTATTATTTTACCCCAAATGTTTATTTCATGTTGTTTTGTGTTGAGGTCAAATTTTTCCATAATGCATATCTGTGTGGACTGAGACGAGGTTAAGGACAGAAGAGGAAATGGGGCAAGAGATATATCTATGTATGTAAATAATATAATTGGATCATTGTACTTTGGATTTCTGCTACTCTAAGGGAACGAATAGTTGGTGCTTAAGGTTTGTCTTCTCTTTTCAATTTCATTTCTGTTATCTCTCTTCTTAATTTCTTACACCTTTTTTTCTTCTCTCTCATCTTCCAATTTTGCATGCATATATCTGGTAATCTGAACAACTAATTTCAAGAAAACACTATGCAATAAACATACAGTCAAATTCATAATATTTGGTTTGGTGAAATTCTGTATCATTTGCAATTTTTCTTGTTTTTTTTT